CACACACACACACACACACACACACACACACACCTGATTATTAAGTCAAACAGGAAGTTACCTGCTGCTGCAGAGACTCAACGAACCACTCGTCTCCCATGAAGTTACACGCCATGTCCACGTCTCCGTTATACACCAGGACCTGATACTTCTGCAGAGACCGTCACAGAGCGTTAACAAGGCCCCGCCCCCGACTCTTACAGTGTTTATCACACAATGTCATCATCTAAATGTCCTCCTCCGATTGGCTGAGCTGCACAGTCCACCTCCTGTGCTCCGACCTTCTTTCTGCTGGTTCTACAGACGCTGACTGAACGTCGTCTTGTTGAGTTTAGAAAATAAAAGTCTGGTGAAAAGTCTCATGTCTGTTTACTCATGACTTCATATTGAACCTTACGTACGTGAATCTAGGGGGATATCCCATAATGCACTGATCTTTTTTTTTTGTCTGCATCTTGAGTTTAAGCTGAGATCTGATGTTGACATGTTGTGAATGAAGGTTGTGACTTCACTGACCAGAGCAGAGAGAAGCTTCAGATACTGTTTCCTGACGTCCAGGTACAGACGACCATAGTTCAGATTCACCTCCGCACTGCAACACACACAAATCATTTACACACACACACAGACACACGCACGCACGGTTATGTGAACAGGTGAGTGTTACCTGCAGATGACCCAGTCCGGGACCTCGGGGGGGATGTGCAGCGCGGCTCTGACAAACGGACTGTTCAGGTAAAGGGAGGAGGGGGTGGAGTTTGTGCAGGGGGGGTCCAGACGGACGGACAGGTGGCGAGATGCCAGAGCTCGAAACTTCTACAGAGTCAGAGACAAAGCAGGTTTGTACTGATCCACCAGGTGAGTTCAGGTGAACCAGGTGATTCACACTCACCTGGTTCCACAGCTGAGTCCACTGATGATTGATGAACGAGTTTCCCAGATCCCTGATCACCAGGTCGCCTCGCTCCACACTGATCAATAACAGGAAGTCAACACCTGTCTCCAAAAAGCTCAGGTGTAAATATGTTGAGTCAGAGGTCAAAGGTCACAGCTCACCTGACTCTGTGTTTCACTCCACCTGGACATGGCGAGTACAGGTTGTAAATGTTCAGACCTGAACTGTAGACTATGTCCTGAACCTCCGACACCTGCCGACAGAGACACCTGCTGTACTTTAAACTGGTTTGAACCAGACTCTTAAACCAGGTTCAGACCAGTATTTATCACAAACTGGTTCAGACTCACGCTGGCGGAGCAGTTCTGGTCCAGGTTGTTGTAAAAGTTGCACGTTCCGTCGCTGCAGCAAAACGTCTGCAGCCGGCTCCACAGTCCAGTTCCCAGCAGGCCGTGGTAGTAGGCGAAGAACACCAGAGAGTTATCGTTCATCTCGTAACTCGACATACCGTTTCCCACGGCAATGCCCTAACACGACAGGTTGCTTATTGAAGTTCATATTATAGTTAGTTATTATTAACGTTGACAGTGATCTCACACTGGCGTGTGGTGCTGCAACACTGGTGCGTACCTGCAGGTTGAGGGTGGCGTCCTCCATCACTCGCTCTGCGAGCGTCGGGATGTAGATTCCTCCATAACTCTCTCCGGTGAGAAAAAGGTCGTTCTTACTGAACTCTGGGAACAAACGGAAGAATTCCCTCAGAGCCAGGAAGTTGTTCATCGACACCTGGAAGAAAGAAAAAAAAACACTCAACACCCAACACCCATGAGCCAATCAGGACCTGAGTTTCAGACGCGTCACTGACCTCGGTGTCGTTTGTCACGTAATTCTTATCATCAGAGTACGAGAAACCGACTCCTGCTGGAGACTCCAGGTACAACATGTTGACAAGCTGCTCGGAAACAGTGAACCAATCAGCTTTCAGGAATCAAACCATTACCCATGAGTCCAAACTTCCCCGTCACAAAATGGCGTTCAGAACTGACCTTGTTCCAGGAATAGGGGTTGTACTGTAAAGTCACTCCATCATCCTGAATCTTAGAATGACAAAGGTCAGAGGTCAGCAGGTGGCACTGTGACATCACACTGGTACAGGTGAGTCAGAGGTTACCTACAAGGAAGGGTCCGTGTTCGGTGAGCAGTCCGTCCAGAGAGCTGCAGCCGGGGCCGCCGTTCAACCACAACACCACCGGGTCAGAGGCCGGGTCGTTCTGGGACTCCACGAACCTGAGAACAAGCTAAAGCTCAGATGACGTAGCGAGGGCCGGGTGGACGTCATAGAAATTAAAGAGCTCATAGAAACGTATTATTAGATTTGTTTTTCCCCCATAACACGTGGCGGTGGAAACGGTGGCATCGCTCTTGAGATGTGCGTCTCTGGGACTGACCAGTAGTGCAGGTGTTTTCCGTCGGCCACACTCAGGTAACCAGAGTAATGTCTGAAACTCGGCTGTTTCTGCAGACCAGGCAGGAAGGTCACCTCATCGTCTGCCGGCGCCGCGTCGCTGCCCAGCAGAGACGACAGGAAGTAACACAACACCACCAACTGCATCTGAAACCAGACAGGAAGTGACATCATCACGTTTAGTACGAAACAGTGCGAACATGGAAAAACCATTTACATGATGAATTCAAACTGACAATAAATGATATGATGAGCCTTTGTGTTAGTGCAGATCTTGGAAATCAAGTTTAGAGTTTCTCTCCCGAACGTGAAATATTCTCATTCATGCCAAACTCAGGACCGAAGACAAGTATCGTATATTTCAATTGTATCGGAAACATTTTTTCACTTGGACTCATTTTATTCAAATAATGTTTCGAACGTTTGTCGTCATGTAAACTTCTCCAACATGTGAAGTTTCAGGAAATGATGCGTTTGCTTTGTTTTGAGTTTTTATTAAAAACAACAGTGGAGTGTGTGAGAGGAAACCTAAGAGTCACAGTCTGCAGCTTCAGAGCGAAGAATACTGAAGACTGTGGGCGTGAAATTTATCAAGAGAGAAAAAGTGATTTATCATAAACAACAAATAGAACGTTAATCCAAAGTGTGAGTGTGTGTGTGTGTGTGTGTGTGTGTG